TCAACATGGCATAACCGTTTAGAAAATTATTGGCTGCTGAAAGGCAACGTTTAAATATTTCGCGATTATTTCAGAATATCTAATGGGGCTTAGCTCGACTATTCGTATATAAGCTCTTAAATCAAGCTTAAAGCTTTGTTTCATTGGATTTATTTCAAGTTTGCGCGCTAATTTCCCGGCATGGCTGCCGAGTCGGATGTCAGATCCACCTTTCGCTATGGGCCGTCGCTGATATTTGTCCTTTTTACACCTGTATGCTATGCTCTGTCATTTTCACATTCCACCTAGGCAACCCAGGATAGTTCATTTGCTGGCTAAATTCTTTAAGACTTTGTTATCATTTACCATATTGTTTTGGACAGCAATGCCTTTAGAACTTATATACAAAGAAAGGTAATCTCTGCAAAACATGTCTATCTATTAACAGGGTTTTTACTCAACATTCGAAGACCTAGCCTTCCGCAAAAGTCTCAGCAGTATATGCATATTTTATCATCTGTGCGTAGTAGGTTATCTCACAAAAACGCAACGCTTAACGCATACTTCCCACTGGCAAAATGTCTGGTATAAAGGCTCAAAATCTTATGTTTTGGGTGTATCTGCTTCACAATTTGCAGGAATCATAAACCATTTCAAAACCAAAGTACTTGTTTAAGTCCAAAACTACCTAAAGCGAAGAAAGCAGACCACACTCTTCAAAATTGGCATAAAATTGCGACTGTACTCTTAAGGTAACGAAAGACTATGGAAGACGTCGACAACGAATAAATAACCGCCATTCACTAGGACAACTCTCAATGATTGATTGTGAGATTAACGCTGCGCTGTCGATGTGAAAAACTTTCGAAATAAACCAAAATAAGCTTAAGGTCAGCCAATGTCATAAGGTTGTCCTATCAATCTTCCAACAGTCTCCGCAACTTTCGTACGTCAATTAACAGGTCTACGTCAAAGCAGCTAGCCTAGCTTCAGTGAGTCCCTCTAAGAAATCCCTAATCTAAGGCATTAAAATCATCACTATGGATTCCCGGGATCGAAAGCGAGTAAGACACAAATTAATTAAAATAGCAAGCTCGTTTTTAACACTGACGTGTTAAATAGGCCATCAGATAAGCAACAAATAATCACTTTAGCAGGCTGATTTTGCTACATTTTTTACCATCTTTTTTAAAAGTGACAGTCATCTAATCACAGTCTGCAAAATACGTTCTAGCGTACTCTGAAATGAACATACTTCTTACTACCGATTATTAACGGAAGTCCACTTAAAAGGAACATATAGATTCGAACTCGTCGCGTAAGTAGGGAGCTTTACAAGCGTCATGGCAAAGTCGCGATCGATTTAAGCCCAGTGAAAGAAATCGATTCCTGTTACACTTATTTGGTTTTAAACACATGTAGTTGAAGTTTTCATTTCTCGTAGACTGTCAAACTGGGGACCTCAAAATAGGCTAAGAAAAGCGACCCGAATTAGCATCCTTCGGTTCATGAATCTATTGATCTTTGGAAGGTAACAGACATCCGCTGAATGTTCATTCAATTTGTTTGGTCGACTTCCTACTCTCGTCAACAAATATACGTTTGTAGAGGTCCATAATGACTAACGGGTGTCGGTTTGAAATGGGCTACAGGTTTTTGATGAGTACAACCATTGATTAACAGCAATGGGCCGAAGACTGATAAGTCTTTTATATTGTAGATCATAAAGATACCTCGGCAGTTGCTCAAGTGTAATCATGGTACGAAGAGGATCCCACACCAAGATGTGGATCAATATCTCCTGCGGTTGCGTCCGAAAATCATCTCAGGTTCCCAGAACGTGGTGATAACAGGTCACGACAGTCTATATTGGTCAGCCATAATAGATGTGTATTGGATAACGCACCCCTGAAGTTTACCTGTTTTTGTGATGATTGGCAGCCGTTACTAAATATAGAATTAATCTTACGGATTTCTTTCTCCTGCATTCTGGACATCGAAGGATTGCTAAGAGCAGCATTATAACTACGGCTGATGATTTGGGTTCATACTTGGTTTTTTGTATTCGCCATATTACAAGGAAGCGTAGTTGAGGTGAATAATTGGAGTTGGCTCTTATAGCTACGAAAACGAATGCGACAGTATACAGCAGAGCTAACTTTAGGACTAAGCTATCGCTTAGGAGTTCAGATTTAAATCCCTTTTAAGCGTTAGAATCGGCTACAAGTTGTAGGCGTATTATTATGCGTAGCTTTAATTATAGGGCATGAGGTTAGTGCTAACGTTTATAAGGAAGCAGAACTCTGAAGTTAGACCTTGATAGTTGTCAGACTTAAACCGCGGACTTAGAATAATTAAACGAGATGTTTATTTCGCGGTTAAGTGTCATATGTATATTTACAAGTGAAGGTTAAGCATTATGCTAGTAATACGAGTTAAGATTCATATTAGGAAATAGGGAATAATGTCGGTTCTTGGATAGGCCTAAGTCTTTGGATTAGTAGGTGGTGAATGGGTTAGGGTTGTGCTTAAGCCTATGTCTTAGAAATGACCTATCGTCAGAGATAAGGGGTAGACTTAAGATTAGACTCTAAGCCTAGTGATGATGCTTTGGTTTTGTTTTACGCGTTAGGGTTTGTGATAGGAGTTCGGTCTTAGGATTTAGAATTGGTATTGAATTTGGGCAAGCGTATGGCTTAAACCTAAGGCTCAGGGTTAGGGAAAGCCTTAAAACCTGGGGTCAACTTTGGGATTAGACGGATAGTGCGCATTTCAATTAAGATTTAAAGGGTACTTGCAGAATAACGTGGAGGTCTAAAAGTGAGTCTGTAAGCATATGTGATATGCAATACATAATGCCCCACGTTACGAAGATCAGCCATGGATACGACAGACCCAGGAATCTGTTTCATTTTTTAGCTTAAAATACAGAACCCCGTAAAGACCGCATCAGGAGCTTTACAAAACGGAACTCTAGTGCAAATATGAAAAATACAAACAAAAGACAGTCGCCAACCAGTTTTTGTTTGCGACAGCAATTAGCAACCGAAATGGTTATCTGTCGCTATCGCTGCAAATGACGGGTGGACGAATTTTGTGCTCATGTGATTACTGAGACAGTCAGGTTTGATCAGATGTCACAAGCGAATGAATTGTTTGTTTACTGTTATACTGTCGATCACATGAACTAACTGCTAGTCTAGTTTTTAAGGCAAGGTCATTCAAACAAAGTTCTTGCTGAATTTTGAGAAAACTCTAGTGGTTTAGTAAATTTATAAATGTCGATCACGGGGGCCGTCACCACTCATGAACTCCAATACCAGCATTTACACAAAACAGGCATCCTGGAGGTAAAGTAATGTTACGTCTTGCTACAAGTCACCTTAACTAATACACACAAGGCAATTTGGCCTCACTTGGCCTCCAAGCCTAGATGGCTATTCCGCGGTCACCGTTGTATAGGACACAACTTGCAAAGGTCAAGGGTGGGAGCCTAGCATATGTTCGTATAGAGAAATGACTTAGCATCTCCGGACTACTGTTAACTTCATATTCACGCACTTTCTGGCCGATACCACACGGAGGAAGGTAAGCTTAGCGTCGCCATATCTGGGAAATGTGCAAAATATTGTTGCCATGTTACTAACTTCGACGGCGTTGAATGGAATGTATATTATTCGTGGTGGGCATCAGAGCGTATGGAAAACGCCGATTGATAGTAACGGCAATACGACTTGAGGGTGGACCTTTGGTTGGATGACCTTATTTTAAGCGTGAAATATAAATATGGCCTCTCTGATATGTACGTATTTTGAAGTATCTAGCGCGTTTCTAATTTCCAATCCTGCTCTAATCTGCCGTCTACTCCGAAGCTCGATGAAATAAGTTATGGATAACGCACATGACTATGCACTTTGTCACAATTGTTTCATCCTTGTAGTTCCCTGTCCGCTCGCGGTGAGATTTTATTAGAGCGAATTGCGGCAGATCGCAGTCACCGAATGCGTGTGTGGGTAGCTCAGGCAAGCTTTCTGTTAATCGGGGAATGGTGAACATGATTCTGTTTGAGCAATTGGCAGATATGAAATCTGTCACATGCCCTAGCTTCATAACACAAACATAAAACAATGAGGGATGGATAGGGGAAGACTTTTTCAAAATCGTCGTCTTCACTGTATTTTGGTATAGAGGAAGTTTTCAATAATCTATTTCGAGGTACAGTGCATCCAACACATCCATCTTTGAAAATTTTCAACCATTTATTTGTAGCAGATCGAGCAAAAAACTGTCGTTTTGTCAGAATTCGGATGCGTTCTTTACTTCTTCTCCTTCTCCGTGCCCCACATTGTTAGCAGCACAGATGTGGCTTTTTTGATCAAATCTTTTACGGATACTTCGGATTTCAGTTTGCCAATTAGCCAAGTTTGTGCCTTCTTTGACATAAGCTGCCACTCCACCTGACGGTTGGCGACCTTGGTTTTGAGGAAAGCAATCGTAAGTGCCGTTGCCCAGACAGAGTCGTCAAGTCCAACCACTGAAAAGCAAAAACGTTACTACATTATCTAATGTTTGGCAAAGACAATCAAACGAAAGTTACACGCGGGGCTGTTGTAGCAGTTCGCGTCTCCTCACCCTCCGCCTTTGTCATGCTGCCGTCCTGTCCGCCTCACACTCCATGTCGATGCGCTGCTGGGCCGCGCGAGTGCTCGAAGCCAATCAACGCTGTCCCCACTCTGATTGGCTGGCGACGTGGAGACAACGAAGGGCGCACACACGCGCTAACACAACACCTCGAAGGCGGACACAGACAACAGTTTGCTTGGAGCGCGCTCGCGGCGACTGCCTACAGAGCCCTTGTGTACGCACTTTCTCAGGCAGTAAAGGTTGTCCAACTCAAACCGTCTTCCCTGAATTTTGATTGGGAATCTTTATCTTGTCGACCACACGACTTTCGACAATTGGTGACCCCTTTGCGTACAGAAATCTTTCTTCCTAATCTACGGTAAAGCCAGGCGCTGATCATGGACAACTTTCCACCGGAAGTGCAGCATATTTTGGCACCCGCCTTCAGCATACTTTCGGCCACGCAACTTAATCAGATGGCTGATCGGTTTATGAAGATGCACGATTTTTTCAATCCATCCATTGCAGCACTCTCAACTCCCTCATCTCCTCCTGCGTCTCCCATTTCGCAGTTGGAGATCGAGCTCAGCAAGCTGGCCAATCATCCAGATCCTGAAGTTCTGCCTCAAGGCGTACTTTACATTCGACGGAACAATCTACGAGCCGGTGAAGGGAACGCCAATGGGTTCGCCGATTTCGGGACTCATAGCCGAGGCGATCCTTCAACAGCTGGAGTCGCTGGTTTTCCGACACCACAGACCGAAATTCTGGGCTCGGTATGTGGATGACACCTTCGTCGTCATCGAACGGGATCAGGTGCTGACTTTCAAAGAACAATTCAACGCCGTCTTCCCGTACATCCAATTTACGATGGAGGAGGAGGAAAACAATCAGCTGGCCTTCGTGGATGTCCTCGTCTGCCGCAAAGATTGTGGTGGCCTAAAAACCAAAGTGTTCAGGAAAGCGACAAATACGACGCAAATACTGAACTTCAATAGCAACCACCCGATCAGTCACAAACGCAGTTGCGTAAGGGCGCTATACCGGCGCGTTGAGACGCACTGCAGTGAAATGGAAGACAAGGTTGCTGAATTACAATATCTTCGACGGGTAATGAGAGCCAATGGCTACCCGAGCAACTTTGTCAACCAGTGCATACGAGAAGGACACCAAAGACCAAATCCAACTAGCCCCAAATATTGGCGGGCTCTTCCGTACGTGAAGAACGTCTCGGAAGCCGTCAGTCGTCTTCTCACTCCACTTGGAGTTGGGGTTGCACACAGGCCGGAAGCAACCATTAGGCGCCAAGTAATGAGGCCAAAAGACCCGCTGCCACGGCAGGAAACGTCTGGAGTCGTTTACCGGATCTGGTGTAGTTGCGGACAAAACAATTATGTCGGAGAAACTGGGAGATTACTCCGTATGCGACTTGCCGAGCACGCAGCAGCAGTGAGGCGGGGAGACGCTAACTCTCAAGTGGCGGCACACTCGACGGGACTCGGCCATATTTTCAAATTTTAAGAGGCCGAAATCCTCGCAAGGGGTGACAACCGCGTGAGCCGCGAGCTGCTCGAGTCATGATTCTCAGGCCTGCAATCCATCAACAAACACAATGACCTCCCGGTACCCTATTCCGTATTGCGATTTTACCTGGACAGGAGAATCAGTCACGTGGGGAGGGCGCGGGTGAGCAATTATCACGGTGACAGGGGGCCAGTTTGCCGAGCAATCTTCACACCAGCATCGAGCACGGATGACGAAATCGCGGCAATTAGCAACTCGGACTCGGACCGCCAAGCCACCGTCGCATCGATTACGACCCCAGCGGCGATTGCGAGAACTGTTAATTGCAGTGCGCATACGGTCCCACGGCAGCCACGTGCCATAAATACTGCACTCCTGGTGCCACCTTCAACTCTATCTGCGAATGTCTCTGATGATGGATTCGAGTGAGAATCCGAAACGTCAGGCAAATAAACCTCTTGTTCCAGTGATCGCATCTTCATCTTCTGAAGCTGGCCGATGATATAGCTTCAGTCCAGAAGCAGGCAGTTTCTACCTCATCTCGAGGCCAACCGAAGCCGTCCACCCCGCATCTCCAGTCTTCATATTCAGCCTGTCCTAACGCACCTGCCATCTGCTGGTACCACACCACCTTTGGTGTTAAAGCCCGTCGCTGCTTCTCCCCTTGCTCCTTCACCTCCAAGCAGAGCAAACGGGTAAAACCGGTCAGCCCGAAGGTCTGGCAGCCAAACTTCCCGGCAGCTCTAACCCTGGTCGCACATTTTACGTCCGCGACACCAGGAGTGGCAGACGTTTCTTGGTTGACACTGGTGCCCAGCTAAGTGTCATTTCACCCACACCAGCTGATCGTCGGTGCCCCAATCCCGGTCTTTTTCTACAGGCCGTCAACACATCGACAATTACCACATTTGGCACCTGCACCCTCTCTCTGGCCATCGGTCTCCGGCGTCTCTTCCTTTGGGTCTTCGTCGTTGCTGACATCCCCTGTGCAATTCTCGGTGCAGATTTCCTCGCCGCTTTCGATCTTCTGGTCGACTGCCGTCAGTCACGTCTACACGACAAGACCACCAACCTCACTGGTGACCCTGAACCCGACAATCCATTTCGGCAACTCCTCGCCAAATACCCCGGCCTCACTCGTCCCAACTTCAACGTTTCTATTCCTCCACATGACGTTGTTCATCACATTCGGACCACCGGCCCTCCCGTGTTTTCTCGCCCCCACCGTCTCGCGCCTACACGTCTTGCTGCCGCCAAGGCCGAATTCGACCACATGCTTCAAATGGGCATTATCCGTCAGTCTGAAAGCCCATGGGCCTCACCCCTCCACATGGTCCCAAGGGCCGCCACTGGTAATTGTCGCCCCTGCGGTGTTCACAGGGTCCTGGACAACGTTACTGTCCCGGACCGCTACCCTGTCCCACATCTTCAGGATTTTGCCGGTGCCCTATTCGGCAAGTCTGTATTCTCGAAGATCGACCTGATCCGTGCTTTCCACCAAATTCCCGTAGCCCCAGAGGACGTTTCGAAGACGGCCGTTACCACCCCCTTTGGCCTCTTTGAGTTCCTGCGCATGCCGTTTGGACTTCGCAACGCCTCCCAGACCTTCAAAAGGTTTGTAGATAGAGTGCTTCGCGGCCTACCATTTGTCTAGGCCTATATCGACGACCTTCAGGTAGCCAGCTCCACCACCGAAGAACACATGGAACATCTTACAACGGTGTTTGACCGACTTCAACAATTTGGCGTTGTTCTCAACCCGTCCAAGTGCGTCTTCGGTGTGCCCTCCCTAGAATTTCTCGGCCATCTGGTCGACTCCCACGGCATTCGGCCTCTTCCCTCAAAGTTTGCCGCCATTCGGGACTTTCCACCCCCCACCTCGAAGCGTAAGTTGCAACGGTTGCTTGGTATGGTGAACTTTTATCGCCAGTTCCTACCGAACTGTGCTGATCTCATTTTGCCGCTCACTAACGTGCTTTCTGGTCCCACAGGTCCCCTCGAGCTGACTGGTGAAGCACTGACTGCTTTTGAGAGAATCAAGAATTCTCTTGTTGATGCCACCTTACTCACAGATCCCGCTCCCGAAGCTCAGCTGTCTCTGATGGTGGATGCTTCGACCGTAGCTGTAGGTGCAGTCCTTCAACAACACCTTGCTAGTTCGACTCAACCACTTGCCTTTTTCTCCAAAATCCTCTTACCAGCTGAGACACGCTACAGTACCTTTGGCCGTGAACTACTTGCCATTTACCTGGCTGTGAAGGATTTCCGGCATTCCCTTGAAGGTCGTGACTTCACCGTTTTCACTGACCACAAACCGTTGACGTTTGCACTTCGTTCCCACACTGACAAACTAAACCCCCGGGAAATCCGACAACTGGACTACATCTCACAGTTTACCTCAGACATCGGCCACATCGACGGGTCACGCAATGAGGTGGCTGACGCACTGTTCAGGCCCTCCATTGCTCATCTTCATCTTTCACCCGGGATAGACCTCGCTGAGATGGCCGCTGAACAACGCCCTGTCGGTCCACCCTGTGATGAGGATGTTTCCGGACTCCAACTTCAGGAACTACCACTGACAACTGGCAACGGCACCATCTTATGCGACGTATCCAACCCTTTCCATCGTCCATTTGTGCCACCATCCCTCCGCCGTAAAGTTTTCTCCTCCCTGCACAATCTGTCTCACCCTGGGAGTCGAACAACCGACAAGCTGGTTTTCGACCGCTTCGTCTGGCCTGGTATGCACAAGGACCTCAAGGCATGGACACGGGCTTGTATCGCCTGTCAACGAAGCAAGATCCAGCGGCACAACAAGGCCCCCATTGGCACCTTCCCTGGCCCTGGTGCAAGGTTCAGCCACGTTTACCTGGACATTGTAGGCCCCCTGCCTCTGTCCAATGGTTGTTCCTATCTCCTCACCTGTGTGGATCGGTTCACTCGGTGGCCTGAAGCAATTCCCCTGCCTGAAATTGCTGCTCCAACGGTGGTCCAGGCTTTCCTCAGTCGTTGGGTTGCTATCTTTGGTGCACCCTCCACAATCATGACTGACCGTGGTGCCCCGTTTGAGTATAATCTCTTCCAGTCCTTACTCTCCTATTTAGGCTGTACTCGCATCCGCACAACAGCCTATCATCCGGCAGCCAACGGGATGGTCGAGCGGTTCCATCGCCAGCTGAACGCCTCCGTACGCGCCGCGGCCGATCCGGAGAACTGGACGAACCACCTTCCCCTGGTCCTCTTGGGCATCCGCTCCGCTCTCAAGTCGGACCTTGACTGTTCCGCAGCTGAACTGGTGTTCGGCGCCACCGTCCGACTCCCCGGTGAGATGATCTAGCCAACCCCGCGAGGTGCAGTTGAGGATCCCACCAACCTCCTGCATCGCCTCCGGCAGTTTATGCGGACACTTTCTCCGGTTCCTCCCAGGTCCTCCGCCTCTCCGTCTTATCTCGAGAGGGACTTGGCAACGTGCTCCCACGTCTACCTCCGATGTGATCGAGTCCGCCGGCCCCTGGAACCACCCTACGACGGCCCCTTCCAAATTATTTCTCGTGGGACGAAGAAATTCCGCATCCGACGCGGCACTCGCGAGGAGGTCGTGAGCGTGGGACATCTCAAAGCTGCCGTCCCGGACACTCCTCCGGATGAGCCCTGTGGTCCCCTACCCCCTGCTCCGTCTTCCCGACCCTCTATCCCTCCGTTCCGTATACTTCCTCTGCCCTCATGTCCACAACCCACAACTGAAACTACCCCTTCATCAACCAACAACACTGTAACCGTGAGCCATACTCACTCTACTCCTGTGCCCCCAGTATATATCACCCGTAGTGGACGCCATGTTCATTTCCTGACCGTTTGATTACTCATGTTTTTTAGACACTAACAACTCCTTCGGCGTCGCTACGCGCCACCTTCGGTCTAGCCGGGGGGTACTGTAGCAGTTCGCGTCTCCTCACCCTCCGCCTTTGTCATGCTGCCGTCCTGTCCGCCTCACACTCCATGTCGATGCGCTGCTGGGCCGCGCGAGTGCTCGAAGCCAATCAACGCTGTCCCCACTCTGATTGGCTGGCGACGTGGAGACAGCGAAGGGCGCACACACGCGCTAACACAACACCTCGAAGGCGGACACAGACAACAGTTTGCTTGGAGCGCGCTCGCGGCGACTGCCTACAGAGCCCTTGTGTACGCACTTTCTCAGGCAGTAAAGGTTGTCCAACTCAAACCGTCTTCCCTGAATTTTGATTGGGAATCTTTATCTTGTCGACCACACGACTTTCGACACTGTCACGCTTGGTGGTGTCACTATTTTTACTGAAGTCTTGGTTCGATGTACTATTTCGACAAGAGACGAACCAAGCGTAACTTGTACAGACATTATTCCGATATTCTCTAAAACAGCATGGAATCTTTATTGGTATGCTGCCAAACATAATTCGCTTATCAGATCACGTTGTTAAACAAGAGATTTTGAACTAGATGTGTCTACAAAGACGGCGACGGCGGGGTGGAAAACTAGGGCATTGTGTGGCTACCAATCAAAGAGAGGACTACGTCCAGATACCCAAGCCCTGGACTAGGGTTCCGCACGTCGTCCGCCACGATGAGTAATCATCACACTATATAGTTGTGGTAATAATTCCTCTAACGTCTCAGAGAATACTCTACAGGATTCACCGCCTGTCATTATTTTGAATAATTTTAAAGGACCTCCTTGATTAATCATATTTGGAACCGGAATCATAGGCATTAGTCCGTTTGACAGCGGTCGTTTTCTACCGGCTGAAGACGTACACGTGATTCTACATACAGGCAGATGAAACTACTTGCAGGTGGAATAGCACCGAGAATAGACAATGTAATTACCGGGATCCATATGCAAAGAGTAAGTGTGAATTATTCTAGCTCCTCCTATGCAATGATTTAGCATGCACTAAGCATATTTCCTTTTTAGGCATGGCAAATCTCTCCTGTAGAGTTTTACTGAAGGGTGGGATGACGTATCTAAATTCAAATATGTAGAATAGGTAAGCACTATTATTGCGCCTGTTCTTGCGCATTTTTCAGGTTATCTTATCTAGTACAGTATGCGGTCGAGCATTTTCTTACTGCCGCCTATCTTTTACTCACAATTCTGTAGGATACATTTGTTGTTGTCACCGCTTTTGGCAATTATCCTGATGAATTTATTTATGCTAAACAACTGAAAGCTCCTTCGATAGAACTAGTTTTAACCATGCCAAAAAGAAACGCTGAACATAGCTCTCATGGAATCCAAGGGACCGGAGAGCCATCGCCGTAAAATAATCACTTAGACAGGCGCCCCTTATTGAATCTCACAAAAGTATCGTTTCATTGTCGTTTTTTATCTCAGCATGACATGGATACTGATGATTACAGTTTTTTAGAACTTGTGTGGAGGGAATTTTTTCCCGGAAAATTGGCCATAGAAGTAGTTTAGCTTTCCCTACTTTGTCTCGGTAATCATTCCGAATCTTCGGCAACGGTATAAAGAAGGACCCACTTGACTGTCAGTAGACTGTGAATCGTGCCATACGGGGTTTATGGCAAAGGAACTTTTATGGGTGGGGCAGCACGCTAAATAGTTAGCCGATAAAATAAAAAAACACACAAATTGACTGGATTCATGCCGAAAGTCTTGTCCTATGCTATTGTACGACAACGGAAATGGGAAAAGTAACTAAGCAATAAGCAAAAAAACAAAATTTCCTAAAATAACGGATTTTGAGTTAAGATGTGAGGTCGTGGGAAGCAATCGTTGTTGGCGGTGTAATTTCTGGAACAGCCTGCAAATGTACATATGCCTAGATAAAACCCCATATGACACGACCCGGTCTACTGAAATTTATGGTGGTCCTTCTCTATACGGTTACCGGTTTTAGGATGACGATTCAGAACATCTTCGTCCTCATGCTGGAGTGAATGTCAAGAAAATTCTAAACGGACTCCTGCAGTCCGCCGACTGTCTGGCTGGCTCTGGGTAGTCAACGGCCAGTCTCCAACGTTCTGAAGACACAGAGCTCAATTTTTAACGATGTTCCTCTTTGGCCCATGATGCCATCTTAAATAAAAGTAAGCAGATGCCCAACATAACTGTCACTCAACTTGTTGAAACCAACCGAACAGTCGTTGGAAACTGAGCACGGAGGTACTTACCGACAATGACGTTTAAATATATTTCCTACTAACGTGCGCTTACCACTTGGTTCAGCACTCAAATGAGACACTTTTACTTGATAAAGCTGGCAAGCGCAGGAGGACGATCTTCGCCATCTGGTAGTGATTTACGACGAAATGAGTAATTTAATGAAAATTACTCAGAGGGGACATTGAAAAATTCAGATATCAACCAATGGAAACTGGTCGCTGAGCAAGGCGTTCTGAACGCTCGAATCAGACCGCTTGAATTTTCGAAAAATCCGAGCACAACTTTCGGGACATTTTAAACGGGATTTCATTTTGGCTCATCATGGAAGAAATAAGGCCATAAATAAGCATGCCTGTGTCAACTCTCTTTGTGCGCAAAAAGACATCTAAGTTAACTTCTCTTTCCTAATTTAGGCAAACTTGTGAAAAGCCTCGAAAATAAAGACATACATACACCCGATTAGATGAGAAATAATCAGCCATTCACACAATTGAATGAAGGCTTATAAAGCATACGCGGTCACCACCGCAACGCGTTTTGGAAATAAGAGCGCAATAACAATCCATTAAACCAAAATAAAATAAGCCTTCCGCACGTGCAAAAGTTAGTATGTTATCGTCACAGAAACCGTATACTCACCATTCTGCGGTTTGGCGGAATTTAACTTATCCTGCTGACAGCCAATAAGATCTGCCAGTTTCGACTCAAGATTCCAAAATCCGTTCAGGTTCTGCAATTCTGCAATGTCTACCAGAATGTCCTTGGGTACTTCGTCTTTCCTTATCAAAGGGGAAACTGGTCCCGGCTGCCAAACCGCAGAGCAAGATTTCGCGACTATTTTTGTAGAAATAATGCCTCCAATAAGTATTAGGCGGAGAAGTCAAATAAAAAACTCAAATGGAGCCCTCTAAAATATGTGATTTTTGTCGACTATTTAAGTTGGTTAATTTACATTATGTAAACTTTCAAGGTACCTATCCAAGAATAAGTTGTTCATTGTCCGAAAATTTGTTGAGAATGTTACTATCGGTGAGAACTTTCACCCAATAATTAAGGTTTATGATATTTACGAAAACTGCTCGCAACAAAAAAGTGGGAATACATTTCGTCATTTTACAAATATGGAATCCTAAGATAATGTCTCCTACCACGCCTTGTACAGATGTTTCTTGCATTCAGCAGGGGTGCACAGATGTTTGCGTACTAAAAACGATCTTGGCTTTTTGTTTGGCATTCGATGAAAACACACTTTAATCTTTCTTATTCACATACACGTAGGAAGACTTGACAGTTGGCAGATATGAAAACCATGGAGTCCAATAAGGCAATCATGTTATGTGTAGCCGAAATTACGATGTCAAATCTTGATAGTAAATAAGCCAGAAGTTGTAGATTAAAAATAACCCATAATTTTCAGCCAGAGTTAAACAGTAATGCTTCCTTTATTGCCTTAAAGACAAGGACTCAGAAATTTAGTTGCGTACTGTCTTGGCATCGTTATGCGTGCCTATCAAACAACTAATGGATCGTTGACGTTCTAATCTCTTCAGAGGTGTATTAAAGCCTCCCCTTTCTGTCATGGTCTCGAATCCTACCGAGGCACCGAATTTTTCACTGTTGGGTCAAATTGAGTTCTAATATATAACAATTTTCAACGCACAGCAATCAGATGGCGGCGGCGGTGGGGGTGCCATTCCTATAATGGATAATTAATCTGTTTTCATATAAATATGCGATTACAAAACAAAACTAGTATTCTTTAAAACGTAGCCCTGGTAATGAAAGATAGCACAAGGGGAAACCAATAAAATTTGTGATAGATATCCAAATCACGTCATGATTTCAGCTTTGAAAGAATGCATGCGTTGATGACTGGAGGTTATGGAGGATAAATTTTGACTAACCGTGACATTCATATTTTTTTGGATTAGTGACCTTGCACGTACAAAGTTCTTGCGGGCACGCTTTAAATCCGTAACAACTCAAGTTTTTGAAGCTAAGTATCGTGGCGAAATTAAAAAATGCTTATCATTTTGAACTTGAGATTAAGCGACGGTGACGACAGACTAAGAGAAACAGGCAAAAAAATTTAGTGTATGAGAATAACTTGAGGTTAAACGGATGGCGGTTATTTTCGCAAAACAATTGGCGGGATAATCGAGAGATAAATTACGACGCAAAATATAGCATATACAAAAAGAGACAACAAACAGAGACATATGAAATGAAACAGAGTTAAGCAAACTTATAAGAAGCAGAAAATTTCAACGATCAGAAAACAGCAAAACCGTTTTTCTCAAAAGGCTCTCCGACAAGTATTTACTTAATCGATGTGCAGTTTAATTAACTACCAAAGCAAAGGAATGGAATGCTTAAAACTAACTAATTTATGCATGTAACTAGCCACTGTGGTAGACAAAATAATTACAAGTAAACGGGGCAGCACTCACCGAAACCGCCAGCATATGACATAGGCGACGCAGCTTAAACACACAATTAGGGGCATCAATATCGAGCACACATAAAACACATGTAGTAGTGGGATGTCAATGTATGTTAATGCCTAATTAGAGCATGAAACTGCAGCAAAAAGGGACAGTCACCTTAGCCCGCTTTTGATCCCAGGGCTGAATTCAGGTGACTTAAATAAGTTCGAAAATGTGCTAATATGCCCTCAGTATGAATATTATGGT